AAAAAACAATGGCGGGCCTCCGCCTCTCTTTAGGAAAGCTGCGTATAACTACTTGATCTACTTCTCTCATCCTATCAGCCCCAGCCAACAGATGATCTGAGCCACCAGACTTCATAACACATATATGTCACATGATTTGCAGTTTGTTCAGATATATCATGCTTTGACCATAACACATATAACTAATTAAGGGGTTGTTTTATTCAAATTAAGAACAAATAACACATAGTGATGAAGCAAATTAAAAAAAAAAAAAAAATTGGAGCAAAAACAAAATAATATGAAAAGAGAAATTATTAAATGAGAAAAGTGGTGAATTACTAGAGCACATGAAAAGACAATTTTTAGAATTCCATGCACCTAATAAAAATAACTGCTTAATAATACTACTGTACATTTACATACATCTTATTCTTAGGGAACAGCAAGGAGTTTTGGAAAAAAAATGAACAGATGGAACTAGAAAAGACGAATGTGATCATAAGTTTTTTCACTTCATGCATGCATGCATGCACGAGGATTAATCATAATTAATTACACAGTAAATTCACTTGATGACCAATGACAGATAATTGAATTGTGGTATTGTTCTAGTCTAATAAGAACTAGTCACTATAAATAGCCCTCAACATGATTTGAATATATCACATGTACAATATAAATTATAGTGAAAAGAAAACCAGCAGTTTTGACTTGGAATATTCATTACGGTACAAAACAATGGAGAAATTGGAGCAATATCCTTTCAAGGTGGAGGTCCTTCTCAAGTTTGGAACAGATTTAACTAGTTTGGCAAAAATGGTAATACCTGCGTGCTGATAAATAATTTAATTTGCTGGAATTGGAGTTGTACATTATTAGATTTGTTCAAATTAATTATAATGTTTGACAATATTGATAATGTGCGTGTATGCAGGGGAAGTTGGACCCCATGATTGGAAGAGAAATGGAGCTTGAACGGCTCACGCAGGTTTTGTGCAAGAGAAGGAAGAATAATGCTTGCCTGATTGGTGATGCCGGTGTCGGGAAAACATCTGTTGTCGAAGGACTCGCCAACAGTATTGTGAATGGATCTCTTCCACAAACAATGGCCCAAAAGAAGGTTTAAGTTTGTTTATGGAGCACAAGTGCATATTGTATCAATAATTATAATATTCTTATGCTTATTTAATATATATCTATTGTTATGCTTATTTAATATATATCTGTACACACAAACATATATATATATATATATAGATTTTTGCAATTGACATGGCACGCCTCATTGCCGGAGCCTCCAACCGTGGAGAGTTCGAGGAGAGGCTGATACAAGTTGTTGATGAAGTTGTGAAAAGTGAAGGCTCCATAATTCTTTTCATAGACGAATTGCATACCCTTATCGGTGCTGGAGGTGGCGGTAACTCTCTTGATGCTGCTAACATTCTCAAACCAGCCCTTGCCAGAGGTCAATTAAAGGTAGGATTTTCTTTATTGAAATGGATGATAAGCGATGAGTAGTAGTGGGCATGCCTCCCTAATTAATGTTTTCTGTTATATATGTAAGTGCATTGGTGCAACAACATTGGACGAATATAGAAAGTACATCGAGAAAGATCCGGCCCTCAAGCGTCGGTTTCAGCCCATTGATGTTCCGGAACCATCTGCTGTGCAAGCACTGGAGATACTAAAAGGCGTGCAGGCAAAATACGCGATATTTCATGGTGTTCGATACACAGCCACGGCCCTCACTGCTGCAGTTGACCTATCCAAGGAGTACATTGGGTTTGTTTTCGATTTTTCATAATCCATTGGTACTAACTATATATTTATTATAAATCATGAAAATGTGGACATTTTTGTTTCTTCTTTGAACCATCATCATTTTTCCATAATATTAGTGAACGTTACCTGCCCGACAAGGCGATTGATTTGATTGACGAGGCCGGTGCAAGAGTCAAGCTCCTGCGCCAAAGGGACCAATCATCTGCCGTTGTAACGGAAAA